GGCTGTATACCACATGTACAATTGCAGGTTTGGAAAAAGATCCAGTAGATTCATTGCAGCAAGTGTCTGTTCAGTTTTCAATCCGTCAGGAAACTCAGCAGAATTGTTGCTCATTGCTATCTGAGGGATTCCTCCCGTCAGAGATGGAATTTTGGACACTCCCAATTGATGAAAATCTGTAATCTGGGCTTAAAATCAAGCCCCACGTTGGGTGCCAATAAATTGTTGTCACCGTTTGACTCAGGTCCGACAACAATGCTCTCGATCCCCTCCACCCAACCCAGGCAGGGAAAGAGAGAGAGAAAAAGAGAGAGACTTGGATGGATTGAAAACTAAACTACACAGCTTTAATTAAAACACTAATGAATTATACAAGAAAATATATACAATTATATACAAATATATTCAGGAATGGGCAAAAAACCTCTCGCCTCCCCCCACCCCAGCAACTCCCACAGCACTTCCCTGAACTGGGAAGAGTCCCGAGGAATCCCGGAGCTGCTGCTGGAACAGAGCAGAGAGTTATGGGGGTCACGAGAGATCAAGGCTGAGGGTCGACGGTGATGGATGAACAGAGTCCTCCCCGGACGCTGGCCATGGACGGAAGAGAAGGGGAGAAGAAGAAGGAAGGAAGTTGTCTCCTGTGATCTCTGACCTTCCTCTGAGCTTACGTAGATATATGGAATGGAATATCTTTGGCCAATTTTGCTGTCCATCTAACTCAGCCTCCTACGGGGGGGTCACAGATCTCCCCATAGTGTCTGAGCCAGCAGAGTGCAGGTGCAGCCTTGAAGCCTCAGTAGTTAGAAAAACATTCCACTGTCTTATCAGCCTAGCAGAACACACTGTTGCTAGTTACAAGAAAGCTTACTGAAGGAAAAAAAAAAATCAGTAAAAAGAAAAATTGGCTTCATCCTGGCTCAAACCAGGACAGTTGCACTTGGTTTTGACTCTGATGTTGATTCACTTTGCAACTGTATGAGGATTATTGTATAAGTAGCTTGTTTATTCAAGTATGGATATTTTTTTTAATAGCTCAGATGATGCAAGTGTTTTTCTTGGTGGTTCAGATACAAAGAGCTTTATGTTCATATGAGTTTGTTCTGATGTCTTTTAAGCATTGTATTTTTTTGGTAATGTGAGCAGGAATTAAATCTGTACCAGAGAAAGCTCTGTATAGGAGATAATTAAACTGCAAAATTGAAGTGACACTGCAGAAATTTGTCACTGAAGAACTGGGCTCACTGTAATTGATAAGACACTTTTATTTGTTATGGAGATTAAAAATTGAGATTTGCTGAGTAGTTGTTACTTGGAGCTCTTGTTTATTTTTCAAGTCACTAATTTCAGGTATCTTTACAACAAGCTCCTAGCTTTTGGGCTAGAACAAAGCAGTATCTTAGCAAGTCTCTCTTTCATAGAGATGAGTTGCAGAGACTATAATAAGGAATGATTCAGTCAAAGCAGATGGTTCATGCCTTGAAAAAACACACCTCTAACATCGAGGAGGCCTTGTAGGGAAAATTATTTTTTGAGTTTGAAAAGCACAGCTTCTTTGCTCTCCATGTGAGAAATGCAGAAATGGAACATTTGTAAAAGGGTTTTTCTTGCAACACTTCTTTATTTCATTGTGGTCTGCCTTGGGTATGGCCAGTACCTAATGCTACAAGTGTTATAAGCGTGATCTTGGAATTCTGTTCTGTAGTCTCTTTGATGCTAGTCAGTGTAAGATAAGGCTCACAGGCTGCCATTATTATTCAGGTGACTGTTCCCTTGTTTTTCATAGACTAAGGAATTTTTTTTAATTGTGATTATGAAGACTACACTTACACTTGTTTAAATTTAAGCAGATTGTTGTGTTTTTTGACTAGGATGATCTTCTTTCAAAATCAGACTTAAGATTTCAGCATCCAGATTTTTGTTGGCAAGTTCTAAAAGTCTTCAGTTTAAATTTCTTTTTTTTAATTCATTCTTCTTGTGTTCTCCTGGGCATTTTTTTACCAAGTTGTTTCCTGAACTCGTATAGCTGTTTTTTCATTTACATGATCCTCTTCAAGTACTCTGGCATTTTGATGGTCTTGAAGCACAGACAACAGAACTGGATGTGGTATTTTGCAAGTTGAAATCAACAATGTGTACTGTTCTGCAGTAAATATGGTTATGTGCATACTTGTGTAATTTGGGATTAAACTTGTGTTATTAAATTAACTATGGAAGCATCCTCATTTAGATACATTGTATTTGAGTACACAGTTTCTATCCTCTGGATGATTGATGTGTTCCTGTTCTAATGGAAGTTCTTGCATACATCCCATGTTGCTAGTGGTTCACTGACTTGCTTTTTTACCTAGGAATCACTTTACACCAAGTTTTTTAAGAGCTCATTAATTTATGGGTCATTAAAAAAAGCTGCAGATAAGAACAGGTTGACCTCTTGCTAGGCTTTCTCTTTATGCAGTTGAATCTCTTACAGCTGTGCCTATAATATAGAGAATGTTTATGCCATGTGGTGAACTGCATTGCAGACACAGTCTGCTGACACCTGATGGTAAATCCATGTGCCTCTGGCTACTTGGAGGTGTTAGCTTAGGTCTTGGAACAGCTGTGTTGGTGTTGCACCTGTGGTGACCCTTGTCTTTGTGACATCTGCAGGTATGAGCGCAGTGCTATGATAACTTGCTGCACTATTTCTGGTTCTAGAGCTAGTGTGGGCTTTTGTGTCAGTATTGGTCCTTGTACGCTCTTCTTTATCCTAGGAGACTATGCAAAAAAAAAACCCAAAACAAACAAACAAAAAAAACCCAACAACAAACCAAACCCTCAGAAACCACTAAATATCTCTGTTCAGCCGTGCTTATTCCTTCCATTTCATAATCATTACACACCTATGATTCCTGTCACCTTAATTACTTTCTACCTGAATGTCTGGTGGGTTTTGTGGTGGGGTTTTTTCCCCTGCTGGATCTTCCTTACTACTCAGAACCAAACCTAAAAAGAGATGTTTCCCTGTGGATGTCACCTGGCTTTTAGGAGGGGGAAGCTGTGACCTACACCCTTCAAGAGTTCAATAGGGAATTCCATTCTGCTGCTTTATAGGCATCCAGCTAAAATGGTTGGTTTTCATTTAAAGTTTGTTCAGAACAACTTCATCTGTTTCCTGCTTTGGTGGCTTTTTCTTGATCACTCTTCTGTCCTCTAAACTCATTTCTTCCACAGTCAAGTGTTTAATCTGAAACACTTGAGATTAATCTTGAAATGTATTTCAGTTAGCCTGAAATGGTTTGGTTTCTTAAGGTGACAAAGTTCAAACTTTGGCTAATGAAACTTCATAGTTCATTTCAGTCTGAACATGAGGCTGTCCTCTAGAACTAGTTACTACCAGTAACTGCTTTTTGATCTTCAGTTTTCAAGCCCTGCTGTTTCTAGAAAGAAAGAGTTGTGAACTTAATTTTTGTTAGACAACCAAAGGATTGGGACAATGAAACTTTAGGGACAAATTATTGCCATATTTAGTCTTAGCAAAATAAAGAACTTGGCGCTCTTGTCCATGGTTTTTTTGGTTTTTTTTAATGAGATTGTTGATAGAGCTCTGTGCTCTCAGGAGTACTATTGTTGCTTCCTTTCATTTATTGTAACTTCACCACACTATGTTAACTGTGGATGTGTGTGATCCCAATAGAAACAGGATACTGGAAACCTTGCTTTTTGCTGTGAAGTAATGTAGTTTCTTTTCGCTCTCGCATCATAGTTGGTTGTAGTAAGAACTATGTCCATTTTGGATAAATTCTGTATGTGTATGATTCATGCTAAAATACTAGCTGAAGGTTTGTGATTGGAAATTTGGAGACTAGCAGCAATAAATTAAAAAGAATCCAGTTTGGTGCTTTGGTAATGCCATCAGGGACTGGCTTCTCAGCTCAGGTAAAATGTAAAAAAACCAGATGTAAGCATAAAAGATGGCTATTGAGTGAAGGTATGTCATAGTCAAAACTACTTAAGTGTATTAATTGCTGTCCTCCTTTTATTTCAGGCAAAAGATAATATGATCTTAGAATTCCCTGTGTATTGAAACTTAATTTTCCAGCCTTGCCCTACTCATAGAAAGTATGAAGTTTCTGCATAGTGAATCAACATCAAAGACAAATGCTCATCTGATAATGTATAATTTCTGAAATAAAATGCTTGACAGCTACTATGCTTAAGTAGATTTTACGGTCTTGGAATGTTTGGCATAATTAACTCAAATTGTAAGTGGAAGACTTCAGTCTTTAACAGCCTAAAATATTTTGTCACAGATACATTTGTCAAAATTTTAGGAAACTTTCAGTTGATTGATTTGGGTTTTTGTACTGCAGACATTAAAGATTTTGTGACCAATTTTCCCCTCTGTGAAAACTCTTCCAAAGTATCAAGTTTGACAATGGATTTGAAAGTATTGCTTTTGTAAATATCTAGTGCCACCACTGTGGTGGTATTGATAGTCTTCAGCTGAATGGTTTTTGTGTTACTGCACTGGTTATTCACTGCATATAACAGCTATCTTTAAACCCAATTTTCTTTCTTAATTAGATGTGAGATACTACTTCACAAACTTACGTGGGGTCAATATTTAAATGCAACTTGTGTGAATACACTTGTCAAATTTCCTCATATGCTCAAATTATAAATCAAAATACAAGAACAAATACCTAACACTAGGGTTGTGTTGGTGAAAGATGCATCTGTGGGTATATCTACTCCAGGGGCTTGATTTGTCTCAGTGAAAAGCATGCCCCAGTACCACCAAATCCATAAGCTAGGAGGTTTTTTTTCCCAGTGCTTTTCTAAATTGCCTTCCCTAAGCTGACAAAACTGTTTTGTCATCATTTTTGTATCAGTGATCTGGTGAGGGTTTTTCTCCTGTGCTAGCAAAGCTATGTCTGACACTTAGACATGCACTGTATTCTGCCAGTGTGTAAAAGATTAAATGCTGTTTTTTTCATAATCAACATGTAACATATGGAACATGACACTTTTTTTTCCTGTTCTTTTCCAGTTTAGGTCTAATATCAGATTCTTTTCATATGTTTTTTGACTGTACTGCTTTATTGGCTGGATTAGCAGCTTCAGTTATTTCAAAATGGAGGTCAAACGATGCTTTCTCATATGGGTAAGAAACTTCAGGCTGTTACCTTAATGTACTTTAGTAAATGCCTAGGTAGTAATTTTTCACTGTACAAACAAAACCTTTTTCTGCAGAACATGGAAAAGCCAAGGTGAGTTATGTAAATCTTGAAGTAAATATCCCCCTAGAAATAGTAAAAATGTTAAGGCATTGCTTTTGAGGAGCAGGTTTATCATTTCTGAGGTCTCCCTGATCATATTTGTGGAAAAAGGCACACTCAAAGTTGCCCTGGATTGTCACATGTTCATGGCACCAGTAAAGTAAGAGCAGCTGCGTTGTGGGCTTGTCTTCACAGCACAGTGAGGTGCCTCACAGAGTATGTCTGCTGCCCCATGCCTTCTTTGGAGCAGAAATTTCCAATTGAATGAGCCAAGTCTCAATGGTGCTGCACCTGAGATGGTAAACCATGCTTCTCATAATCAGAAGGATTCAGCAGCTGTGGCTACCACAAACACGGATACTTAAGGCTGAGGTCTATCTTCCCACACCAACCTTCATGGATAGTAACACCTGCAGCTGCTTCTGTTTGAAGGGTGCTTGATTCCACTGCACATTGTAGTTGTGCCCTATGAAACAATACTGATATGATATTATTAATTGGTGATCCAGGTTAATTAACAGCAAATGGACTGTAACATGGGTTGCTGTATTCCCCGTAGCATTACTGACCTGAATGTCAGCATTTACCTTCAGCTCTTGCCTAAGCATGGATCATGTAGTTTGAAATGTAAGGAACCCTTTAATTAAGGTGGAAATTCCAGTGTGCCACCTTCTAGAAAGAATGTTTTGTATCACAAACTAATTGCAATGAAAACAGTGTCTGTATTAGTTACTATTCTGCATTTAAACAGCTGGTGTTCCATTTATTAGAGAACAGCCACAATTTATTAAGTCTGATGTTTGCTACATTGGAATTACATGTTATTCTAACCTGTCTGGCTTTTTATTAGAAAAATTTAGTAGCTGAAATAGTTAATTTCTACTAAGCCTCCCCCTACTGGATGGGGAGCAAATTAATGTATGGTTGTTTGATATTAAACAGAATATTACGTCAGCAGACTTAGATTACATCTTGCATATTTACTTTACATTGTGGCTTCCAAATACGCATTTGTACTATAACTTCCGTTGGAGATGATCTTATATGGGAAGATTTTGACATATTGTAAGTCTTCTTTCATCCAGATCAGTTAATGGCTGCTGTAGATGAGGTAATTTCTGTTCATAAATGCAACATAGTGGATTTACTATCTATAGTTTATATACTGCATCTTCCATTTAGCAAATCCTTGTGTAATACAACTGTTTGAGAACTAGAAGATTGTACTCCAATGTCTTAAGTTCACTTTTAGCTTTTAGCATTTAAATGAAGGTATTAATATCTACTGTTAATTTTTTGGTTTTTTTAGATATGTTCGAGCAGAAGTACTTGCTGGTTTTGTAAATGGTTTATTCCTCATCTTTACAGCATTCTTCATTTTTTCTGAGGGTGTTGAGGTAGGTATGTTACGAAGTCAATCGTACTATCAGTTGTCACATTTCTATTTGGAGAACATAATGGGGATAAAATTACTGAAATTTATAATTGGTTTAAAAGCTATTTCAGGTGATCCTAATCTATTCAAATTATAGCTTTTTCACTGTATCTGTAACTAGCTTCTCAAATAATGTATTTTGATGGCATGCTAATATTCTGAGACTTACCCTGTCCTTTTTTCAGACATGGAAGTATTTTATAGAGAGATCTTTAGTTCTCATTGGTAAGGACAAATGAGACTAAGAAAGAAAGGCCAAACTAGTAATTCAGAGGACAGAAGTTAGTAAAAAGAAATAGAAATATGTTCTGTGAAAAAGTTGGACTAACTCATTTAAAGAAAGAGCATTATCTTCCAAATCTTGAAGTGTGATATAAATGGCAAGTAGTAATAGCTTTAAGATTTACAGTGGCGCTTCTCTTGAATTTTTTTTACAAGATGGTTCAGGTGATAATTTCAATATTGTAGATCATTATCAAGGGTATCTGAAGTGAAGCAGGATTAAGAGTAAAATTAATATCTCATTTTGATCAGATTTCATTACTGCTTTTACATTTTAGTGGGTGATGCAGTATGCATTTTTTAGGCTTCTAGTTCTGCATGCATTCTCACAGTTCCGTTTTTTAATAGAGAACTGGGAAGAGCTTTCAGGAACCTACCTTTCATATAGATCAGCCTGTAAATATTTAAAAATCAGTTTAAACTGGGCTAAAATAGCCTAAAGGCTTGGGAAAACTTCATATCAACAGCAAAACTTACTAGAAAAATTATAAGCTACTACTGGAAGGGTGAGGGGTAATGTTGAAACATATGAATCCACAACAAACTTGAATGTTTTCATATGGTGTTGAGCCACATCCCACAGCATGATGACATCTTATGATAAATATTAGCTAGAATATCAGAGTATTCTACTATACTTTCACAGCTTTAATAATAAAGGTTCAACTTTAGATAGTAAGAATTAGGCTGTATACTCTCTCCAAAACTAAAAGTACTGAGTAATTTCTAATTATGTCTTTATATATGCCTGTTTGTATGAAAATGTTTCTGTATCTAAGCAGTTTTTTCAGTGCCTTTTAATAATGTAAAGATATTGTAAAACTTTGTATTTGCATCTTAGTGTGTTGTTCTCTTTTTTTTTTTTAGAGAGCACTTGAGCCTCCTGACGTGCATCATGAGAGACTTCTTCCTGTTTCTATCCTAGGATTCATTGTAAATCTTATAGGAATATTTGTTTTTCAACATGGAGGTCATGGACATTCACATGGCTCTGGTAGGATATCTACAGTTTTCAGTACTGTTTCCTTTCTTGGCACATGGTGTTCCAGGACCATATAATCCTTCAGTGAGAACTCCAGGATTACATTTTTGTCCTTTTAGTGGCAATTTTAGCCAAATGTATGTGTGGCTTGTTGCAATACTGACTTCTATGTTTTAGCACTAGCTCTGGTATGTCACTAGTGTACTTCTTGTGTTAATTTCCATTGAAGGTGTAGAGCTCCATAATCTGCTTTCTGGAACATGCAGTCTTCTGCATCTTGTTGGAAGACATTTACAGAATGCCTTTTGGGACAAAATAACACCGGAGTTAAGCTAGGTCTTGGCTGGAAAATTTACCAAACAGTGTCTGAACCAAATTTTTAAGTATGGGGTGATTCAGCTTCATGCATTTCTTAGCTTACTCTCTTTTAAATTTAAATGCAGAATTTATTTGCCTAAATACATCTGGTAATTTTATTTTTTTTCTGCAAAGATAATTGATATCTTTGAGCTTAACATACAAATTGATATGGACTGGTGGAAGAGAACAGTCTTGAGTCTTTAAGCAGCAATTTAAGCTTGAATTTTTAATGTGAACAATAGCCCATTTCTGGTTTCTTAAAACAATTATTTTGAATTGCTTGTATCTAATTATGTGTACATTTTTCAAATTTTACTAGAAGTTTAGCAAATTTTTTCTCAGAAGTAGGAACTTATGAAAGCACTGGACTTCTCAAATCAGCTATATATTTTGTATGGCTGCACAGTGTAGATTTACATGACAAATCACCTTGTGTTAAGTTTCTTAATTTATTTAAAGCCATGCCTTAAGATGACCTAAAAGATGAATAGGTTTCAAGTATCTTAGAAACAAATATATGCATACTTCTATTGAACACTTTAAATGTATTCTGTAATGGTGATTTTTTTATAGGGCATGAACACAGCCATTCTCTATTTAATGGGGGTCTCAGCCATGGACACAGTCACGGAGGTCATGGTCACAGCCATGAGCATAAACATGCCCATGGACACACTCATGATCATGGGCATAGTCATGGACACTCTCATGGTCAGAATTATTGTCATGGTAAGTACTTTGTTAATGTCACAGAACACTTGACTCAATTTAAATTTAATATTAATGAGTTTTTGAAAAAAAAGTGGGTGATGGCAGCTTGTTACGAGCAGACATGAAACTCGTTTCACTGAATGTGTGGTGTGCAGTGCCACTGCTGTGTTCTGTAAATAATTTTTCTAAATGCTGTTTCACTTGCAGTTAAGTTCAGTGTTAGTTTTTAAAGGTTTTGCTTTACCTGTACTTTTTGAATGTTCACTCTAGCACTTGAAAACTGATGTCATTATATTGCTATGTTTCAGTTTTGCATTAAAATCAATAGAGTTAAACTGCTTTCCTAGTGTTCTCCATTTGAATAATTTTACACATCAAGGTAATAGGAAAGATGAACAAGCAATTTTACTTTGAGTACTTGGGGACTCATATATGGTACTTGGATTGTGATCTCAAATGTAAGATTTTTCCTCATCTTGTGTAGTTGTAATCTGTTTTAAAGCTGGTTATGAAAAAGGTACCTGCTGTGTTAACAATGCTTGAATCTTTTCAGTAAAGGTAAATGATCTGTGAGGAGACATCCATGCAAAGTATTATCAGTAGCCTTCACTGTGGGAGAAGAGATAGTATGGTGTTACTACCTATCTGAAACCATGCAAATGAAAGCCTTAATGAATGCAAGGTTGTCAGTCCTTAATGCCTGAGCCATAAACCAGAATCTGAAGTGAATGAAAATGTGCACATTCAGAGTGGAGAATGGTGTGGTAACTCACAGGCAGGAGATGACAAAGACTATGAAGTATTTACTGATCCCTTCCTTGCTATTTTTAGCAGAAAATTAATGCTTGTTTTCCAAATGTTCTCCTGGAGTTTGTTTGAAAAGCAAGAACTCCCCAGTCCTGCCTCTTCCTTGCTCTCCCTATGTCCCCCACTCAAGTGAAAACAGCAAATGTAGCTATCTGTTTTGTGCCATTTGATATTAAAATCAACTTTTGCATAAATTATTATATCTCTTCACTTGAAGTAATTTGCTATCCCACAAAAAGTTTTTCTTAAAATACCTTTCTGGTGTGTTCCACAGAGGTGTTAATTTGCTTGGATGAGAGGATTTTTTTTACTTAATTCTGCCCTCTCCCAGCCTTATCAGTCTTGTTTTACAGTAGGTATAAATACTTAATTGAAGTATTTCTGATTAGCAAATGTATTTGACCTTGCTCTTCTTGCTTTGTTTGTTTGACTTGTATTCTTGAGGGGGCCTTATTTTGCCAAATACTAGGAAGGCCTTATTTCTTAGGTTGTTCTCATTAAAAAACAATTGTTGATTTTTTATAAATAAATACGTAAAATCTATTGTGTAAAGTGGCATTTTTATGAAAAATGTGGTTTAAGACTTAATTGCTGTGTTCATAAATGACAGCTAGAGTAAAAGCTAGTCATTGTGAACACCTTGTCTGAGAAATTTCAGAAAGGAAGACCAGATTGGAATATACCACGAGAGAGAGCCTTTGTGTAGGTTAATATGCTGATAATTGTCTTCGCAGATGACCATTCTCTTGAGGAGATGGCTGGATCCAGCAAACAGATTTTACAAGGTACAATTAGAATAAGTAGTATTTTATTTTATCGTGATTTGCCTGCCTGTTACTGTTTTTCCCACAGCTGTTTTAGGGGGCGCCTCTGGATAACATTTATCTTAGAGGAGCTATTTTATGAGGTCTCCTTCCACTTGTAAACAGAGTAGTGCCGTACCCTGTGCATGGTTAGGTGTTGAGACAGTCACTGAAGTCTGAATGTAATGCTGTGTCAACACAGTTTAAAAGGGAGATCCCAGAAGCTGGGGTTCAGCTTCTGTTACTGATGCTGAAAAAATCAAATAGTAAAAATCTATAAAAGAGCGGCTGAAAGAGAAACCCTAAGGACCCTAATTACAGTGTGTGCTCTGGAAAATGAAAAACAGTATTATTAAGATATAATGTATTTGAAAAGTGCAGAATTGTTAAAGGTACCTGAGCTTAAAACTTTCATCAAGCTCTGTTGCAGTTGGTTTAGACAAGATGGTAATTGCTTGAAGGAGTATTGCAGTCCATGATCTCCTGAGCATTGGTGTAAATAAATTGTTGATAATTTAGGCATCAGTTTTGAGCATTGATTACTTATTTTTTTAAGTTAGGCAGAGAAAATTATATCTTGTAAGAGGTAGTAATCACCTGGCACACCCAGACGTGCATACTATTTTCTGGCTTATTTGTAGCCCTTGAAAAGGAACATTTCTAACCTCTTCCAGAATTTGTAGTATACTGTACTATGAAATATGTATGTCAGAGCTCTGGTAGAAGTTTTTTGAAAGTTAGTCTGCATGAAAGGGACATTCAAATTGAAGCATATTAAAAATACTCAATTTTGTATACTTTAATTTTTCAATACTGTGGTGAGTTGGCTCTGGCTACCAACTAAGCACCCAGCATATGCTCCCTCATTCCTACTGTGGGACAAGGAAGAGAATTAGAAAAGTAAAAGCAAGAACTACTCTTGGATTGAGAAAAAGACATCTTAGGAAGTGAATGGGGAAAAAAACCCAACAAAACCAAAACTCAGGTGATGCAAAGATAAGAACTCACCACTTCCCACCAGTATATTAGTACCCAGCAGGTCTCTAAGCAACAGCTATTTTAGAAAGACAGCACCCCAATTTTATTGCCCACCCCAGCCTAGTGGCTGTGGGGACAGAGTGAGAAGCAGGTGGCCTTGATTCTGTGCAAGTGCCTTTTGGCAACAGTTAAACCACTGGTGTATTATCATCGCTGGGTTACTCACAAATCTAAAACACAGCATTGCACAGGCTGCTATGGAGAAAGCCATATTCCGTCCCAGCCAAACCCAGTACAAATGTAGACTTGGAAAAATCAATAAAGAGCTGATGTATAGTTGTGTTGTTTTTATGAGGGGGAATTGTCTTGAGTCTGGACAGCTGTATTTAAAAAGCTTCTTTCTGAATGACTGTTCCCAACATTGCCAGCAGAGAGCTCCAAAGGCTAAATTTTAGGTAGCTGCAAAGTGCTTGTTTCTTTGTCTTCTAAAGTAGCATGTTGTTCTTCAAAATAAGTGAAGTTGTTAATGTTTGCAGTATTGTTCTCAAAATAATTTGTCTTGGATTTATTTTCCAAAAAAATTGTACAAGGTGCTGTTGATGGAACATCAGCATCTTTCAAAGCTTCACAGAGCTGTTTCTGTTAACAGTCTTTGCATCTTACACAGTACTTACCATTTTCTGTAGGCATTAGGGAACATGTATTTCTTTACTGTAACATGATTGGGTAGTACCTAAGTTGGTAGCCATGCCATGAAATATGTTTTACTGCAAAATGCAGAAAATACTCTAAATTCAAATGCTGTATATTCTACAAATATGTTGAAATCCTGTGATTGCTTTTTGTGTTTGACTAAGAATTGGTGAAAAATTTAACAAGCATAAATCATGCTATCTAGTTCTTGCAAATCTTCTCCTTAAATTGTCTTTGAAACACTCCATTAGCTTTAAGAATGCCAAGTTGTAATTATATCAATTAATCTTTTGTAGGTGTATTTCTACACATTGTTGCAGACACACTTGGAAGTGTTGGTGTGATCATATCTGCTATATTGATGCAGAACTATGGTCTCATGATAGCAGATCCCATTTGTTCAATGCTTATAGCACTACTTATAGGTGTAAGGTAAGCACTGATATTGCTGATCTTTGGTAGCAATTTTCGTTAGTTACAGCAAAAATTACAGCTCAGAAGAAAAGGTTTGTGTCTTAAGAATTATTTGTAAGGTTTATTTTTCTTCCAAGAGTGTGATATGTTACCTCTGTTCTGTACAGCTGTTCTGGTGTGCTCTTAACATGAGCTGTCTTTGTTTTCCTTTTCTGCAGCTACAGCTTTTGGCCTTAAATCTGCATATTTTAGCCATTTGCATAATACTACAAAAATGTCTTTCAGGTTCAAACTGAACCTGAAGTATTCCTCTCTGTTATTTAGTACATGCTTATGTAAACCAATGTACTCCAGTAAATGGAGCAGAATGGCTTCAGGGCAGCAGAGTTGAGCCTGCTGGCACAGGTTGTGCCCTTGTCCTTGATAAATCAAAGCTGATAATTTTTATTTTTTTCTCTGCTGAGATCTTTTATATTTCTGAGACACCCTTATTCCTTTTAAGATCTGATGGAAATACTTAAAGTAGTTCTGGGCTTTCTGAGTTGTTGCTTACCAAGATCTCTGTAAATTAAGCTATTTGGTTTACACTGGACAAGCAGTCATGTCATTCAGTGATGCTCTTACTGAGGCTTTTTTTGGCTGTGGTTTCAATGGTGGCATAGGCCAGAGTGCCAGAACTCGACTTACAACCTAATAACTGAACACCTTTGTCTTTTCAGCAGTGGTGAATGTCATCTGGTTAACTGCAGCTACTTATGCTTGTGCTATATATAGCATCTTTACACCGTATGCATGGCAGCATTCACAGAACTATTGATGTGAATCTCCCTATTTGTCAGAGTAGGGAAACATACTTCAGACACTAAATATCCACAGAAATCTGTGCTAGAGATCACAATTAAATTACAACTTTATATACTGAGTATTTTGACTTAAACTTCCTGTAATTTTATAAAGGACAAATTATTCCTAACTAATTTTATTGCTGAAATCTCAAAATGGGAAAGAAAATGTGCAGGTTACCAAGGGGGAGGAAAACTATTGCTGAAGTAATAGCTGAGTAAAACACAGCCTGTGTTCATAGGAGAGGTGCTCCAGCCCTCTGATCATCTTTGTGACCCTCCTCTGGACTCATTCCAGCAGATCCATGTCCTCCTTGTGTCAGGGGCTCCAGAACTGGAAACTCCAGGGGGGTCTTACAGGAGCGGAGTAGAGGGGGAGAGTTGCTTCCCTTGACCTGCTGACCACACTGCTTTTGATGCAGCCCAGGGTACAGTTGGCTTTTTGGGCTGCAGGTGCACATTGCCAGCTCATGTCCATATTTTCATCCACCAGCATTCCTACGTCCTTCTTTTCAAGGCTGTTCTCAGTCCATTTTCCTCCTAACCTGTAATTGTGCTTGGGATTGCCCCAATCTATGTGCAGGACAAATTGTCCATTTCCTTTTTAATTATCTGTATAGGCCTCTGGTTCTACAATAAAGGTATTGGGTATTAAGTGATGAACCAGAGCAGGCAGTACTCTCCTTACCCAACAGCTGTTAGTGAAAGCAAAACCTGGAGCATGGATCCTCTGTATCTTTGAGTGCAATGAAGTTTTAAAATAAAGATGTTGAAATTTCAAAATCTGTATGTGACTGCTTTTGCTCTTGGCTGTCAACTTGCTATTTGGGAGGGAGACTTCTTTCCTAGGAGAATTACTTTTGATGTGTTTTTCTTTGAGCTCTTGTGCTGGCCTTTTGTCAAATGTTTTCAAATGTCAAGTTACCATATTGGATTAATACTTGCCTATAGTACAGGTGCTTTTCTGTCATCAGGAACCTATCCTAGGAAACACTTGTGAATATTGCAGATGGCTGTATGAGTGTAAATCTAAGGTCACGGTGGGAGAGTTGTTCAGACTTGAATCTTTTATGTTAATTTTTATGTAACGAGGATACATCATTCTGAGTGTTATTGTCTAGAAACCCTGTTGGTTGTATATGAAAATAAAGTATACATTAAGCAATTTTTTTTCATTAAGTTGTACATTTCCAATAAAGTACAAACTGGTAAATTGAGTTTTCAGTCATGTTGGTTGGTGCCTTTCTCTAAGGGAAGGATCCTCAGATCAGTCTAGATTACAGTGTCACTTTGGATATGTGTTTAGTCTAACTAGTTAGGAGGTGTTCGAGCTGGAACAAGCTTGCCAAGAGATGAATTAGGACAGAATTGTAGATGTACATTTAAGTACTTAGTATGATTTTTGTTGTTTGAGGGTTTAATGAAGCTTATTTTTTGCCTTTTTTTTCTGAAAAAAATGTTAGTATATTACTTATCCTGGTAGTGAGTTGGCTTCAGTCATGTATCCTCCAAGTTACTGCTTTTAATGGTCTGCATTTTGACTTGTGGTGGGCATTGGTAGGGAGGGTAGATTTGATCCATGTGTCCTTTTTTTCCAATATGTATTCTTTCAGGGATACTAACTTATCCAAAGAGTGATTAAAGTCAACATAAATCCTTATTCCTTTTTGTGGAACTAAGTCTAATAAGCTAGTAGTGTATCAAACCAGTTGCATGTGAGTGCAGAGGAAAATTATTGTTCTTTAATCCAAGATTTCTTGTGCCTAGATGAAATAACTCTTCGTTGGTTTCACGTTAACTGCCTGCTTCTAGGTTGGGCAGCTCTCTCCAATTTACTCAGGTCTTGCCTGTTCCTATTAGTGTATCTTCTGTTCAGTTTTATGACAGGATGGCAACAACATGCCAAAAAAAATAATAAAAATATCTGTCTAGGATGATTTAAAAACTTAGTGTTGCAATATAAAGCTGTACAGCCTCTAATTTATAACCTATTTTGTCTTGTGCAGATTGCACAAAGGGTTGAGCAACACCTCTTCAGAGAAGTCAAGCAGTGCTTTTAATTCAAATGGTTGAACCTTCTTGTAGACAACATCTCTAATTAGTGCAAATTGTCAACTACTGACAGAGTTGCTCTGTGTTGCTCCTGTGATCCTTCACTAAGCCTGCTCTAAGGTGATACATTCTCTGCCTAACTCCTTTTGAGTTAGTGCAGAACATTCTTGCTGCACCGTGAAAATCCAGTGTGGGATTCTTCTGAGGTTGTTTTCACTGACAAGTAAATATAGTTCAAAGAAACTGGGTAGCTGTTACTAGAGTATAGAGAGGTAAGATCAGTCTTTTCTCTTTAGTAGACAATTACTATCTACATCCCAGTAAAAGCCTGGCTTCAATAGGATTATATAGAGGTACTGTTAATACTTGTTACATCTCATGCTTTAAAATTTATCTTTTTGAAGGAAGAAAAATAGTCCACATATTACTGTTCTGATACAGAGGCAAAATCACAAAGTCAGATACTTTTCACTTCACAAATTTCATTATGCTATAGAAAATTTGTGTTTTCTTTATCTGTTAGGAAAAGGGCTTGGTAGTTTGTGGCTTCTCAATTGGAGGGCTGTATCCTGTAATCTTTAAAAACCTCTGCATCGTGAATCTACGGCCCATTCTGAAGGGTTAAGCTGGTGTGGTCATGGGGTTGTAGCTCTTGAGTGTTCCTGGATGCTACCACTAATATCTGGTGAATCTTTGATTACTTTCTATACTATCTCATGCAAGTTTCCATTTAGTTATAAAGCATAAATATGACATGTTTAAAATAGATTAGTCTGTTTTACTAGCATTTTATTTTTAATCTTTTTCGTTTTTTAAAAAAGCCATTTCATAGTTGTTCAGGTTGACACTCAAGTGTTTTTCCAAGGTGTTTTCCTCATAATTTAAAGTGCCTGAATCAATAAACAATTTCTCAAATCTCTAAACTGCTTTTAAAATTTTAAACTAAATGTTGATTTATTTGTAGCCTTAGGCTTCTAAGCTTTATTCGGAAATGTTGAAGCAATTTTAGCATTTCGATCAGCCATGTGAAATTAGTCATCAAGCAAAAGCCACAATTCCGGTATAAAGCAAGAAGTTTGTCTGAAACCACTATTAGAGCCACATGTTTCTAGAAAGGCACCATAGACTAAATACAATACTAGACTGGATAGAGCATGCAAACTACCTATTAAGTGGTCAAAGAAGTGAGGTCATTTACTTCAGTCATTTGGTAAAGTTGCTTCCATGGATTACGTAATTTTTACATGAAGTCTAGAGCAACTTGAACATGTGAGAGAGCTGTAGGGGATGAAATGCAATGTTTGGGGTATAGCCCATGTTGGGGCATAACAGTATAAAAAAAATGCTTTATTAAATGAAGTGCTGCATTCACCAAGATTCAGAAAGAATGCTCTACAGCAAAATCTCCCCCAAACTCACGGGCTTGTTGATGTTGTAAGTTAGTTCTAAGAAAGCTGACAATCTTGGCCCTGCAGGTGTGGGTGGTGGCAGAGAAAAAAAACCTAAACCTGGCTGCAGAATTTCAGCTATGGTATTTGAAGAAACGTAGCTGGTCTTCAGTTTTAGCTGTGGTGTTTGACCTTCAATAATATCTATCACAAGTATCTTACAGTTTTTGTAGTGCTGAGAGAACTAAATAAATTTCCTTCTCTGCTCTGACTGTATAAACTGTTCTTTACCCCAGAGTTGTTTCCAGTCTCGCTGTCCAAGATCACAATAATGCCAAAGTTTTGTTAGCTGTGTCTGCAAAAACAGTGACATAAATAGGATGGGACTGGAATGGAGGAGTATGAGCTGTAATCAAGCCATTTGTGGCAGGCTGGATTTATCAGACTTATGTCAATAGCTTGTATCTGTTTGAGCACCTTTTGCTTACTCTGTAACTGTGCAAAAGTGGTGTGCTGCTAACTCATTTTGCACACATTAGCTGCTTTTGCTATTATGGAGTTTTTAGAGAACATAAGTCAGTCCCAAGTCTTGCTGTGGTTTAGTGCCTCTTTCAAATTCTGTTGTCTTTTAAGAGAGTGTAGTATTTCAGATTGAAGGCTTGGTAATCAGAGATGATTTGCAAGTTGTCTGCTTTAGGAGCAAAGCTTACAGACTGCTTATGCATGAAAAATTTATCCAGTTGGTGAGAATTCAGCACTATTTATTTTAATCAGTAATCTTTTTGTAAATAGAAAAGGGGGGAAGTACCAGTGTAAAAGTTGCTGCAGAGACAATCACATGTGTTTTACACTAATGACTAATCAAAAAAAAAGGAAAGTTGTTCAAATTCTCTTAACCACATTTTCAGCCTGCTTGGTATGGTTGTCCTTCCTAGTGTTTTCTTCAGTCATATGAGAGGGAACTAATAGTTCAAGTGCCTCCTGGTGATTAAGTAATACTGTTTTTCACTTGGTGTTTGAGGAAAGGGCATATTATGTGGAGTTTTGGGTTTTAATTAAAGGTTTTATACTTCAGCAGTGTGCATGAAACAATGGAAAACCTGACATCAGAAAACTAGATTTTATAGTTTGTCTTGTTAGTTTGGCTTACAGTAAAAGCCTGCCTTGTGAGATGGTGTCCTTTTGGATGCAGAGATGCATGCAGGGGCTTCTGTGCTCTGACAGCATTTGTGATGTAATAAGACATAACTGCCACTGTTTTTGGGCTTTATCAGCTTTGCAAAAGGGAAATTTGTAGATGAACACTATCTAAAGTAGAGGAGGGAGGTGTGATCTAGGATGCAATTCAGCTTTCACCTACAGTATCAAGCCACATCCTGATTTATATCTATTCTTTGGACTTCTAAGATATCACTGTTTTGGTTAAACACTTTCAGCTTTAGATTTTTTGTGAAGTCTGGCTAAAAGCATAACGTGTGCAGCTTTTTTGCAAAAAAAACTTGCTCAGGAGGTTTCTCTCTTAAAAATTCAGTGTGGAGCCATTACAAAACCAGGACAGGTGAAATCTTGTCAGCAGGGAGACTTATCTTTTAAACTCTATCACCCACTCTAGGAGTGGAATGTCTTCCCTGTTCACCTTCTTGGATATTAGTTGATTTTGAGCTAATGGTTCCATTATGTGCTGCTTAAACCTGCATCTCATTTCCTGGCAAGGAGAGACAGTCCTTGGTGCTTGTATACAATCTGCTGAATGCATAGACTTAACTCTGGAAGGTAGGTTTCTTAGGCAGTGAGGTTCTCAGAAAGAAAGAAATCTTAATGTTAAATGCATCTTTAGCTGAAGAGCTCTTTAACTTGGGTTGTAACTTCCTCCTTTTCAATGTTCATCCTATTTGAGAATGAATCAACCAGTTTCATGGACCAACTCCTTTTTTGGAATGGGTTAACATGCCCAACCTGCTAGTTTTCAGTTTCCATAGGCTGTCTCTCCAAATCTCCTACTTGCCAACTAATTTCCATTCCATCAGATTTTGTATGTCGGTTTTACCAAATAAAGTGAATAATTGTGCAAATTAGACACTTAGATTTCTTTCAAGAATTCTGTTCCCTCTTAGTGGTATGTTGCAATGAAAAAGGCAAGCTCCTACATTCACTACCTCTTTAGTCGTTTCCCTGGGAAAAAATACGCAGCCTGTACGTGTGTTTTTTGAAGCTTTTGGATGCATGTGTTGGAGAGGCCTTGTTAAATTTATGGGGATAGAATCAGTGCTCAAGAATCCTGTATTCTGTTTGCATCCTGAACTTGTGTTTTGGTCTTTCAAGGTTTTTATTAAGAAGCAAACCAGCATTTTAAATAGTGAGTTAAACTGAAATCAATTCAGCAATTGAGTACTTTGGCAGCTCTGGCTCCCTTTGATGAAATGCTTGTGACATGGACATTATTTAGTGAGAAGAGTCCATTGATAAGAGAACCTTTTTCCCTAAACTTCTGTAATCCCCTGTCTGTACAATGTGACGCTCCAATTAAGCTTCCTTTAGAGAGATTGGCAGTTACTGCGTTGCTAAATGTTTAATTGTCTTGGTGACAGGTCTAGTTTTTGCTTGCCCCTAATTGCTTCTTCCTATTTCTAAACTGATTCCTCAGTAGCGGTGAAACTGTGTGTGGCCATGCGATGGAGTGATCAGGCAGTGAATTTGGCTGGAATAACCAGCGTGCCTGCAAGGAGACTTAATTTTAGGGAGGGTTTTTTTTTCCAGGCATTCCTTAGACAAGACTTATGCACCTTCTAACTCCCTCCCACACCAGCTAGGGGATTGGCCAGGGAGTGAGCTGAGCACTGGATGAGCCAGCACTGCTTCCATGTGCAGATGGAAACATCTCTAGAAAAATGGCAAGGAATGGCATGATTGTGCTGTTGGTGTGTGCAAATAGGCAGCTGGTCTAAGCACTATGTTCTATATCACTTTGTGACATTTTAAACAATGCTTCTGTGGCTTCCTTTAACAGACAGCCTAATTAATTTCTTACTAATGTTTTCTAGTTGCTTTTTATCCCCTCCTTCTTATGTATTCCAGCTGTGATGCCAATGCTCAATGCTGAAATTCAGCTTGCAGTTTCTGAAATAGATCATAAGTTTTGGTCTAGAGCTTTAGGTGGCTTATATTCTCTTGAAATTAGATTGTCAAATAAGTTTCAGTATTGGACTATAGATACTTGTCATCCTTTTTGAACTTTTAGGATGCTTTACTGAGCCAGACATGATGCACTACTCCTAAATAAAAAAAACAGATCATATTGAATACTTAATGAGAATATACATTTCTAGTGGTAGCTTCAGGGTGTGTACTTACTGGTCTCCTGGTTTTATTTACCAAGAAAAGGAATAATAAAAAATGGTATTAAGTGTAATCTTACTTGGCTGATTAAACAAGACCATTTGGCCAGGAGGGAACCTCTAATTGCTTCCATATGTTTAATCTTTGAGCTTGTATGAGACCCTATCCTTAGTTCACTCCAAGAATATGCTAAGTTGTCTTTTTCTGACAAAATAAACTTTGTTATAGCTGGACTGGTCCATACTAATTTTGTTTTATGATCTCCCCATTATTATCTTAGTTCCTAAGAAAAATATGCCTTAAGCCAAACACAAAAGCAAAAAACATTTCAGTTCCGTTTTTTTGTGGTTTGTTGTGAGTGATGGCCATTGAAGTAGGTTTTAGTTTTGAGCTATACTTACCAGCTGCTCTATCATAAAACTTTCAAGACAGTAAGAGGTTTCATCTCAAATTCCATTATTAAATTGTTATTCTTTCATGATTGTCCACCAGTTGCTTTTGTGGAAAATCTGAGGCAAAAGTAATTTTAGTTTTAGTAAGACACAATAGCAGTTTTGTCAGTCCTTTTATTTTCTGTACCAGGTTTTCATGGTAACTTTCTCAGCTTCTGGTGAAACAACTAAAGAAAAATTATTGAAGAGCATTAAGGAATGATATGTTCCTCTTTGTTTAGCATCTTTTGAAAATGTAATAGTAGCTAACTCCCTTTTTTTTATTTCCAGTATTGTTCCACTTTTGAAAGAATCCATTGGAATCTTGATGCAGCGAACACCTCCTTCCCTGGAAAATGCCCTGCCTCAGTGCTACCAGAGGGTGAGCTCCTAGGCTGTTTTAGCTTCAGATCAAGTTGCTGACTGAATCAGCCCCAACTGTGTGTATGAGGATATTTTGTGATGTTTTCCCGGTAATGCCCATGAAAGGTTCCTTAGATTGTACAAACAGAGGTACCAGTTTGATTCTTATCTTTCTGAAGTCCTAAATTGTATGTAGATTCAAGTCAGTTTATGTTTTAAAGATTGCCATGTTGGTTGAGAAGAATAGATCCTAAGGCTTTTCTTATCAAAGTATTTGATTCTGATACTAAGTGTGTAATGTTTCTCTGTTTTGTTTCATTTTTGTCTCTCTCAAAATCTAGTTCTTACTAAAGTGAGGTGGAGTAACATTGGAAGGGTATTTATAAGAGTACATAGATTACCCTGGATCTGACTTCTCTTAGTATTCCTGCTTAACTTGCCTATTACTGTGTCATGATCTGAACATTTGAAGGACCTTTGCAAAGCTGATACAAAGCACTTGTAGGAGTGCCATCTTGCCTTGGGAAGTTACAGGATTCTCATTGTCAGTGAAATATGTGTAGAACATAAATGCAGTAAGATATACATGAGACATACATACAATCTGTTCTCCCCTTCCTTAGAATGACTGAGATAGTAATAAGGAATTTAAGTGAAATATCACAAATTGCACAGTGACCTACAAGTAAAATAATGTGTTGGGTTTTAAAATATTTTCTGTAAAATAACATGATACAGCTAAACATTTTCTGAAATACATTTTTTTAATTTGCTTGTATTTAAAAAAATCCACATTTCTGGACCCTCTGTACTGATGTTTACGTAGGGACTTTGAAACTGTTAGTAGCTCCTGATGCTGATGGAAGGTGGATTTTAAGCCAAACTCACAATATTTTTACTCAGGTATGTTTCGAGAGTGGAAATCGTATCAGTGTAAATTTTCTGTCACATGGTGTGACATGGTCATTCTTAATAAGAAAAATTGTGTTTCTGCTGTTGGTATCAGTGTGTTCTGAAAAGCTGCTCTGCTCCAGCTGTATAGAACAGTTTTTAAATACTCAATAGTGCAGATGGAATTGTTGTACCTCTCTGAATTAGTGTTTCATGCCACTTAATGGAGATAAAAGCTGTAGTTGTCTGAGGTATATAAAATTAAGTTGAAACCCTGTATTGACCTATGAGGAACCAAGAAAATAGATGCAGCTTCTGACCACAGACTGGTCCTACCTGAATTCTTCACTGTGCTGGTGCTGTATTTGTCTTTCATTTCTCTAAGAATTCATGGTCTTTGCATATTTCATAGTTTTTGCTGTGGTGATTGCTAGTTAAAATGTAGCCATCAGTTGGCAGGTTGTATACAAACAGTGCATTTCCATTTAAAAACCCTACAGATTATAATTTTTATATAGATAGTGACAGCACTCTTAACTGATATGAAACACTGGAATTCTTGCCAACAGCTGAAATTATTGAAAGTTGATAGTTCTTGCCTTAAGATTAATATCTGAAAAGTTTCAGAAAAAAAATTCTGTTGCTTCTTTATACTTTCAGTCATTAAACATAAAATTCCTCTTGGCTGTGCCTATTCCAGTATAGCTACTGGATATGAATGGTTTACAAGTAGAGCCCAGAGTCTGTTAGAAAATTCTTCTCCAGCAAGAGAACATTCTGAATAATAAAGCTGGAAACTTACTGTCTTATACCATCCAGAGCTAAACATCCTGATTTTATTCTTGACATTGAAGCACTGCATTTAAAAAAAAAAAGTTTTTCCATAATGTTTTTTTTCTCTGCTTTTGAGAATGGAGAGTTCTGTAGCTAATAAGGAGACAAATATTCCTTCTGATCAGATTTATTTGATATTGTAAATAAAAAATGTTTGTCAACAGTTTAGTGCTTGCATAAATGTAGTTTTCAAAACTTTATACAGCACGGAGAGTCCTTGTGTGCTCAGATGCATCTTTCCCATGTTCTAAATGTTCTGTTGGTCTACTGCATTGGCAGCTTGTGTATGTGATGACCTACTGAATCGTTTATGCATCTGATAGGCACCCCTTTTATTTAACTGTTTAATAACAGTTTTAAAAACTTCAGACTGGATTTTTGTTTGGGTTTTTTATGCATCTTGCATACTCAGTTTGTGAGGGTTTCTGAGGAGAGAAATGCATTTATACAATTCACATACCTGTACCAAAAGTTATTTCAGTTTCTCATAATGTCATTAAATTTCCTATAGCCACTGTTGTTTCTTACTGAAATCCTAATTTAGAACCAATTCAAACAATAATTCTTGTGTTATGCTCTTGTATTTGCCTCCATTTTAAACTGACAGCTCTTGAAGCAGCTTATTTTTCAGGAAGTTGGACTTGTACAAAAGAAAGTTAGAACTGCCTTTTTGCAGCTTCATGTGTGACAGTTATTTAGGATGAATCAGTAAAGGTAATGTAGCAAAGCTAATAATATATAATCATGTTTGTGCACTGGGCTATGTGAAGAGCTGTATTCATAGAACGTGCTCAAAGTTTGTAGTTTCCAAATTGCCAGTACTGCAGTGAATGAAGTGCTAAATGTAGAAGATTAATTACAGAAAAACAGGAGTTTTTTGCAGGTAACTTACTGATGTGGACTGGTGTTCAGGACAGTTAAATTGCTTTGGCTTTACAGGGTTTTTTAACTACTCTTCTTTTTTCCACAGGCGGGAGTAAGACAGCTTTACGTACAGATTGATGTTGCAGCCGTGTAGGGGATTTTTGAAATTGGACCAAAGCTTTCTGTACTGTAATGCTGTAACAACATAGACTTCTCAAGACAGAACCTGCCTCCTCCTTTTCTGGAATTGACTGTATGATTCCTGTCCTTGGGCTATGGGTGGAGTTCACTTTTAAGGAGTAAATATTGAATGAATGTTACAGACTTTGGGTCTTGTCTTTTTGTGGCCCCTAAACTTGAAAGTTTTTGAAGGTTTTTTAGTTACTAAGATTGTGGTACTGGAAAGTCTGTCACGTTGTCTTCAGTGAAGCTGCTGAAACCACTGCTCATTCCCATAAAACCAGTGTTACCAACAATTGGAAACTTTTGTAGATAATGTCACAATGGCTGACATGCTTCAATATAATTGTATGTTTGTACAATTGTTTGTACTTTGCAAACTTAATGAACCAAACCATATTGGGTTTTCAAAGTGCCTTTTATATCAGGAGAGGTTATTTGCCAGCATAAAAATGGAGTATCAAAGGGTTTTATTACTTTTACAAATATCTTGTATGCAGTCTGATTATGTATTAATGATGTATGTGGGGGGTTTGTGTACATGCTTAACTGTAGATGTTAGACTTTTCTTATACTTGCATCTTACCAAACAGAAGAAAAATTCTAAATTTAAAAGGCAAAGCTGTTGTGAAGACACTTGCTTCCAAAACAAACCATATATTTTGTTGCACATACCTCATGGAAATTATTTCAGTCAAAATTTAACTCCATTTCTTAGTCTTATCATACTGTTGAGAGTAATGAGGCATTATGTGATGCTACTTTGGTTCACATCATGGAAACAACAGGCAGCTGAGGGAAGATGCTGGTGATGGAAGCAACGCTTGAAGTTTTTTATCTTGCAAATTATGTGGTGGGAAAAATTAAATCCTTAAATTATTTGTGAAAGCTTAAATCTCCATGATTTTAATAAGTTGTGATAATTTGTATTGAAGTGACTGGTGAGATAACTTTAACCTTTCTAAATACTGAGAATAGTTGTTCCTGGTGGTTATACCTGAAGTGCAAATAGGGACCATGGTTCATGCTGTTTAAAGATCATGCTTTTTCCAGGTTGACAAGTCTGATTTATTTTTTTTTTTTTACTATCTTACTCTGAAGCCATGTGTGTTTTCATGGTGGGTGGGGGGAATTCTCAGTGCAGTAAGTTGTTTTTTCCAGAAACATTGGTCTGTCATTTTTTTTTCTAGCATTTATGATAATTTTACACTTTACACTTTCAGATCAGAGCATTGTTTTCAAAGACAATCTGCTACATTTTATAATTCCATTATTTTCCACAGTATTACAGGTGATAATTCCACTATGGTGTAGTAGTTAGCTTAGTAATAGAAGACTTCATAAGGGACATCTTATAAACAGAACATTGTGGGGTAAAAGACAGCTACCCAGTGTTGTGGATTTTAAGTATTCTGGTACCTGATATGTGGCAATACTGCAGTCAAGGCCTTTCTGAGGCTGACAGTGTCTTGTGTAGTAAGTGCTAGGCACTATTAAGGTACTCAAGAGTCATTTGCAGAAATAATTTGTTTGCCACTGTTGTTGCTGACTTCATGGTAGAGATTAAGAGCTTCTTGCATTGATTCTCTCATTCTTATATAGTACCTGAATTTTTCTCTCCATGTGAAAACACAATGGTTGCCAAGTTGATAGGTAGTTCCTGAATTTTCCAGATGAGATAGTGAAACAGGAATGTAGGTTTTGTGCACAGCTGGGGAGTGCACTCTTGTGCTTGGAACTGAAAACTGAGTGTAAAGAAAAATAGCAGCCACATACATGTTGCTCTTAAGCTTTGCAGTTTTTTCAAGTCTTCAAATTGTTTTTTATCCCTGCTGCTGGTTTCTGATCTTGTATGCTTCTCCTGTGGATGCTGGCAGAGTGCTCCTTCAGCTGGCTGCACTGTTCCACCTCTCTCTCTTCTGGCCTCCTGCCTGGCACCCCATCAACCCCCTCCCCATCTTGCTTTGCAGAGGTTCTGCCAGGCCTGGAGTTCTGACCACAGGATGGGATGTAAAAGTTACATCGTGTGGAGTAGGGTCCAAGAATCTATTAAGCAGATTTGAATGTTGCAGTTTAACATGCAGTGTTTGCATGTATGTTCACAGAAAAGGTAATTTAAATATGGTTATAATTATAGAATGGAGATCCCTCATGTTGTTTTGTAGTATGTTGCGTATAGACTGCTGCTTGTTGGTTGACAGCATGATTTTTAAATATTTTTAATAGTTAGTATTACTACTGTTTGTGGCTAGAGAAGATCAACTGATACCACCTTAGAGGCAAGCACCAGCCAACTTCATGGCAAGTGTGTTATGGTCCAAGAACAGGCCTTGGATTATATCATTTTTATACCAACATGTTTTGAGACTGAGTATTCCTGAACTGACTTTACTGAAATACTGTAGTGAAATATTGAAATACTGTCCAAGCTTGGCCATCTTTTTAGTTCTCTTACATGAAAAGACAACTGCTGCAATTTGTTTCCAAGTGAGAATCTGCCTGAGTGGCAGCTGGGTTTGTTCTTGTGTTTTAAGAGGTACATCTACAAATGTCTTAAATATGGGAAGCTGAGTGAAAAAGCTGGTTATAATTACACAATATTGATTTTAATATTTCCTTTTACATCTTTTTTTGCTTATGGGGTCCTGACCATTGGAAACATATGTACAAGTTTGAATTTTTTAACCATGATAGCAATTTATTTGATATTTTTAAGGACAACTTGATGTTTTTATAGTAAGAAATTAATCATTTGTTATTAAATATAACAGAGGATAGTGTAGGGAAGTCAGATTTGAAGTAGACTTTAAGCCTTTATAGGCTTTCTGAATAAGGATAAGCATCACAAAATTCTACGAAAGATGGTAGATGACATGTGCAGTAGTTAACTACAATCACATCTGCTATGTCAGTAAACAGAGTGATGTCTGGATTATTTTTTCACCTACTAAGGGGATATTTGCTCAAGTTTTGGGAGAGTACAAATTGTGCAATTGAAAGTGCAGCTTTTCTTATCCTGAAAGTTAAAGCTACATTATTTTGTGTTTTGCTAATTACCTAACACTTAGCTTTATGTGACACTTTGCTCCTAACACTTACAGGTGATGCATTGCATCATTTAAACAAAGAGTCGTGTAAATGACTGACATCCAAAGGTGGATGAATTGTCTGCAGAACATCTGCTAAAACTCAGTTTCATGGTATCCAGTGCTGAATTTTAAACCAAGTTTTCAGGGTATTATTTTTCTCTTGTTTTCATGTAGCTGAAGCTTTTGTGGGGTTACTCATCTGTCTTTGTGGGGTTTTTCTGTGCCTGAAAACAGTAACCATATTATCCCTAAGACCAAACCTGCAAACAGCATGATTTTTACAGGACCTATAGCAAAATAAGATAAAACAAGTGCTACAGAGTGTCCGTTTTAAAATGCCCCAAATGTTTATAACAGTAAATAACAGTGGAAGAAAATTACTTAAGAGTGAAGACTGGTCCTTTATAGGCTATTCCTGAAAGTCTGTACATATGGAAAGACTTGTTCCTTACATCATCTCCCAGAGAGAGCCAGATTACTTGTGCAGTTTGCTAAACCGTGGCAAAAAGTGCTGGTCCAAATAAATTACTGTGTTATTTATGTAGTACTGCTTAATAAAACAAAAGTTCAACCGCATCATTAGCTAGAGCTGCTGATGCTATTTTAACATAAAAATTGAAACTGCTGCTACTACTAAAATGGACTTTAATGACTCTTAACATTCTTAATTTGTTTGTCTGAAAATGTAGAGCTGGGTTTAAAGGTGAAGGAAATAAAGGGTATCTTTTTTTAACTGTTTTAAGTGAAACTGTTTTAGGAATGTAAACAAAATACAAGAGGGGAGAGAGGCTGCTGCAGAACTGCAGTTTTCCAGCCTTTGCACTCACTGTGCAGTCAAATTGTAGAGTTCATGGCTTTTCTCTCACTGTGCAGATTTCAGTTGCAGAAATGTTCATACTTCTATAAAGTGCAAATACTAATCAATACTCATGTAACAAGATCTTTACAAACCAGTTCAGATCAACAGCTTTAGTTACTAATTAAGTCCTGTCTTGTTTTCCCCAGCAGCCATTAGCCTGACACTTGGTATGATTCTTGATTATTACACCCATTTTAAGCATGTTTGGGAATGAATATAGAGGGATTTTCTTTTTTTTTTTTTTAATTATCTTTTTCTCTCATCCCTAATACTGACTCAGTGGTTAATTCCTCCTTTGCACCTCTGTGAAAATCCCTATCTGCAGCTTGCTGGGATTTCCTTCTGGATTTCTCTTCCATTCAGGCTCTGCTGCAGTGACTATCCTTGTTGGGACTTCATTGGCCAGAGACTGCTATAATGTGAAAAGATGCCAGTTATGCTTCTGCTGTGCCTGGCATGTGAAGAAGGCATGTCTT